TCTGGAGCATTTGCTGCATCTAAAGCTTCATGTCTAAACCAATTTTCCAATACTTAATGCAACTACATACATTGCCATTTTATTGTTTTTTGGAAGGTCAAATGTATCACATCTCAGAGAAAAATTTAATATGATTTCCCAGTGGAAGCTGTTTTCCATATCTATCCACTTTCTCCACAGCAGTTTGTGGGACCTATACTTCAAAACGGGATTACCTGAAATAGAGACCTTACAATGTAACAAACAATGCATCTTCAGTAAATTTGTTATATTTTTCAAGCTTTCTGGGCTGAAAAAAAATGTAGATATTAGAGAATTAGAAAGACATGTTGAGCCTGAAACAGTTGATAATGGGAAGGAAAACATAAGTGCCTGTTCAGTTTTCTTCCATACAGAAGAGTTATCAGTTATATCAGTTGTCCATTACATAGCCTGACTTAATAAGAAGCCACTGCTGAAGGATTGGAAGATTAAAGCCACCCATTTTAACTGGTAGCTTTTAATTAAAATCAACCCCCTTTATCCTCTCCACACAGAAACCTGCTAAGCATTTGGGGAATTCTGGTAGTTTATGTAATAGATAATACATTTGAAGTAACACATTCACTTTAAAAATATTACCACACTCCCATAAGGATATTGCCAGACTGCTTCACTTGTTCAGATCGTGTAATATAGTATCAAGCATCTTCTGAAAGTTTTGGTAGACAATGATAGTGTAAGAGTGATGTTTGTAGTCATGATTGTCCAGAAATTATGTGAGAGACAAGGATTTCTTAGGGTAATATCTTTTGTTGGAGCAACTGTGTAGTTGGGATAGAGTTAGACAAGCTTTTCAGTGCAAGACATTCCTGACAAACCTAGAGCTTCCTGGTTAGAGGATCTTGCCCCTTTGTTCAGGGTCAGACTGATCACCATGTTTGGGATAAGGAAGAAATTTTATGCCATGGTCAGCTTTGTATGGACTGCGGTGGATGGTTGGGGGGGAGGGGGAGGATAATCCTTTTCCTCGGACTTCCTGCATGAATTTTAATAATGCTTGCAATGGCAAGACACTGACAGCCTTTACTCCCCCCATCCTCCTAACGCTTTGTGTGTGGCAGGTTAGGGTGCTCTTGGTGTTTTTTGGGAAGCATACTTTTTGGTTGTGTGGCAGGGTTGACTGTGTAGTTTTAAGAACAGGTGAGAAAAACACTTGTATGGGATGGTTCAGATGGGAATGATCAACAGCCACTGGTGTTGAGTAGGGAATTAAACTAGATGACCTCCTAAGAGCTCTTCCAGTCTAATTTTTCTGTGATTCTTGCTGGAGATCTAAAATAGCCCATTTTCTTCATTTTATCAATCAAAACCATTTAGCTGTGTAACAGGGAGACACTGCCCCTGTTACGAGAACATTTGGGAAAAGCACCCAATTTGTTGAGAACTTTCTGTCGGACCCATGGAACTGGGCAACATATTGACTGTTCGCCCATCCAGGATGCTAAATACCCACTATGGACTTTGGCAAAGTGCCCATTACTTGCTGACAGTGACGAGGTGCTCAAACTGATTGAGATAACTAAAGGCTTAATTGCCAATTAAGTCTTCCTGGCTTTTGGCAGACAACCAGAGATTGACAACAGCTGTGTGGAAACATTGTATAAAGGACTGTTGGTGCAATCAGCTTTTCCCTGGAAGGGGAAGAGGAGCCAAGGCTTTAGACGCCAGAGATGGCAAGCAGCCTGTGCGGAGGCGCAGGCAATGAGAGAGAGATTCACCAAGAACTTCTTGTTGAAGTGGCAAGTGTTGGACATCCGACCCGTTGGAAGATGAGTTGCTGATTCAGCCGGATGATTGCAGCTCCATCCAGATCTGTGACAGGGACGTTACTGCTGTGAATTGATAAGCGGGGAGGGCTTGCAAACCCCCACCCGGTGAGTGTTTATTGCAGGACTGATACGTGAATTGGGAACGTGGCGGGACTGATGGGTGAATTGGGAACGTGTAGGGAGATCCACCTGAGGGACCTATAGCTGGCAGCTAGCTGAGTTGCACTTCTTGTGAGCAGGCATTGTTGATGCTCATTATTAAAAGTAAATGAGCATTCCTCTCATGTGGTGTCCCCTTTTAATCACTCCCATCAAAGTCATGGCAGGCGAAATTGACACCGAAACAAGGGAAAACGAAGCTATAACATCTTGTTGTGTGCCTTAGAAGAAGAACATGCTCACAAGCTGCAAAATGTGTTTTTCAAGGCATATTAATACACTGAGTTAAATTTTCCTCTGGGTTTATCAGGTACAAGTAGTCCAATGAAATGAGCATTCAGTGTGATAAACAGCATTTGGAGTGAAGAGAAAAGTCTAATGAACACAGACACTGTCAAAGCTGTTCTTTAGCTCAAAATGAATATTAACATCACTTGTTCCATTCTTTATGGCATGTTCCTTCCAATACCAAGTGACTGGAGAAAGAATAATCCTCTTATGAGCCTGTGGCTGTTGAAGTTCAGCCCCAGCTCACTTTTTTGATTTGAATTACTTTTGCAGAGAGATTTCACGAACCTAAAAATGTCACCAGCAAAGTGACCCATCTTCACCTCTGGGTGGCCCTTGAGAGAATATTAATTTTTGTTGGCACATTAATTTTTCTCATTAGCATTTTTCTTTCCTTTTATTCTTCTCTGATTTTTAGTCTTCACAAAGAGGCATCTAAATCCAATAACAGCCACCTTTGATTCAAAACCACCATCTCTGAATGGATTTCAATTTGGGCAAGACCACCTGGTTCTTGTCTGGTAAAGGCAATGTTTTCCTTGCAAAATGTTTCATTGAGGTTCCTGGAAACTTATTTCAGCTTCTGCAGTTGAATCTATCAGTATATGTAGTTTCAGAGTCCTGGAATTTGCTATTTATCTTTCAGCAGGGGAAAAAAAGACATTGGGTCGCCTCCATTGACTAGAGCTTTTTATCCTTTTTGAAAACTGTTCTTTTCCCATAAATCAAAACAATGAGCTGTTACAGCTCTTTGGAAACTGAGGATTACTAGGAAGGGGCCATAATTGAGGAGCTGGCTGGGCTATTTTTAGAGGACACAACTTTTATGCCAGATCATTCAATCATGAGGTAACCTTTTAGCTTCTTTTATCCGAAGCACATGAGAAGGCTATGATGTTCAAAGGAGATGAGGAAATTAAGGTTTTTAAGGTCCACTGAATTACAATGGGATTCAGGTGCCTTTATGCCCTGATTTTGAAAATCTCAGTTTTAGTATTTCCAGAGTCATTACAAAGAAAATGTACAGGGGAGGGAGACTTGCCTGGAGTCCAAGGAATAATGTACTGCTAAATAGTAACTGCCAACCAAATGATCTAGGTAGTCTGTGCAGCCTGAGGTCCTGGACTAATGGTAACACTTTTAAGTCCAGCTCTTTTCCCAGTTATTGAAAAGAAGAGCTGGGGGAAAGGCATGTTAAGTAATCCTGGGTAGAGGATGCAGCGGAGTAAATTCCATAATGGAAAAAATAGGACACCTCATTTTTTATTGGCACCTCAGTGCTGTAGCAAGTAGAGGCATAAGTCCTGCCTGCTATGGATTGAAATCCTTTGACAATTGTAGAAAGGGAACGCTTTGGAAGAGGATATGATCTTGGTCACATTATGCAATGAAAAATGTTTATTTTCTAGGAAGAGAGCAGGCTGTCCTGCAGCATTATAGGGCTTCCAGACCTTGATCCAAAGCCTGTAGAAGTTGAGGGAGGGGTTCTCTCACTCAAATATACTTGTAGTTCTTTTTTTTTTAATTCTGTGCAAGAAATATACCAGGTGAGGTTGATAAATGAAAGTTAATTCACTGAAGAAACTTCAAGACAGATCCTGGAGCCTCAGTAAGCTGCACTTAACCCAGGACCCTAAGTGGAGGAGAAGGAATTCCCATGTCTGCCACTGACTTCCAGTGTGACCCTAAGCAAGTCACTTGAGCTATCTGTGTCTTAGTTCCCTGTAATTATCAGGATGATATTTATCAGGATGATAAAATACTGACCCCCCATCTTTGACTGCCTTGCTTATTCAGATGGTTAGCTCTTCTGAGCATTGTCTATTAAGATCTCTGTAAAAGAAACTGCATACTACTGTCCATTACCTTGTCCTGGAAAACCAATGAACAGTGCTGAATATTCGCAAGCACCCTCTCCTGATTCTTAGTTGGTTAACGATCTAACTTTCATGTGGAAAAAGAAGTTTCTAATTTGGAGAAAATTCACATTTTCTCTCTTTTTTTTAATTCTAAATTTCCAGCAAAATGGAGAATTTCAGGGCACTGCACTGCCCAGGAAACAAGCTAACCAGATCTCCTTATCCAATGGGGTTGCTGGGGAGCCTGGCAGACCACACACTGGTTAGGGCAGGCATCTTGGGCAGGCAGGTAGCTGGTGAGCCCATGGTGATGGCAGCCTCGGTGTCTGCAGAGAGAAGTAGGAGGCCCATGGATCCTAACAACCTGATGGCTGCCTGCCTTCATCGTTTCTACAGTGGAAGGCAGTAGAAAGGACACATTCTTACAGGACATTGTAGACTAGGTCTATTATCTACTTATACAACCAGCCACCTCTTTTGTAGATTGTTCTCATCACAAGGACAGTCTCTCAGCATGACTGGACTCTACTATAGGGTGGGCCTGGAGAAGCAGCTGTAGTATATATATCCATAATTGAGATGAAACAAAAGCCATCATGTAATGCGCTTAGATTCACGATACACCTAAATTAACAGGGATACATCTTTGCAGTGGTTCCCAGTTCTAACCAATCTCTTACTCTTCTAGCTCTACATGAGACACCCAGTGGGCCAACTTCTGGTCTTGTGCAAGCAGGTGAAACTCAGTCAGAGGTGGCGTAAGATTGTGCCCATTTCCAGAGGTGCTGCCTATCTGAATTTGTCCTTCTGTGTGCTTAGATGTGCTGGGCCAAATTTTGCCTGTCTTTTGTGTACTGAACCACTTCTTTTTTTCCCAATGCAGGTACTGATTGCCCCCATAACTGAACAAGGGCAAGTCCAGAGGGACATCTACCTGCCTGGGGAAGACCACCTGTGGATGGACACCAACACTGCACAGGTGTTTGATGGAGGAACTGTCATCAGGAACTATTCTGTTAAAATTGCGGAAGTGCCTGTTTTTGTAAAGGTTTCTTCAATGCCAGACTGTCCAAGGTTTCCATCCTCCACAGGAGAATGATGCTGACAAGACTTGCTCTTTCTTTCTCAACAGACTGTTTCATCCATTTGCACTTTTCCAAGAACTCTTGTTTGGTTTTGATTTGCTTTTGGGTTTTTTCAGTTGTGTTTAAATCTTTTGTTGTCATTTGCTACCATTCTGAGATAGCAAAATATGACAAGATCTTTGGTGCAAAATATAGATGCTTATGCATATACAGCACATCCAGTGAGATCCTTCAGCTTCAGCTGACCTGATCCTGTGTGCTAACTATGAGGAAAGTCTTTGATTAAATAGCAGTGAAAGAGAGAGCCTCAGAGCCATAAGGTAATGGGAATAGCAGACCACGGTGATGTCTATTGGAAAAATCCTCTTACTTGGGGGAAAAAAATCAGCGAAGCACAGAGCTAGGTATGACAGAGAGCATGACTGGCTTCTTTGGAAAGAAATAGTCTGGGCTGCCTGCTTCTAGCTTCCTGAAGAAAAAATAGGATTGCATCTTCACCTACCTTTGTATATCACAGTGTTTCAGTTGGGGAAAATGGCAGCATCCATCTTTGGACCTTATGTTGGCGTCTCAGTTTTTGACAAGGGAATGTCAGAGTTTCATTAGACAAAGCATTCAACAAGATGAGAGCAGGAGAAACCTGATCTGTAGCATGAGTGTAGGTTGCAAATGTAAGGAGCCTTCTTCATTTCAGATGGATAATTATTTTAGAAACTAACTTGTCTGCTGCCTTTTACTGCCACATTCCCACCTCAAAGAACCTGCCTGTGCTTTTGGGAACAGCCCAAAACTGATAAAAGGACCTTGCTCATTTCCAAAAATGAGTTATCTGACTTTTAGAAGTAGTGAGCACCCTGCAGCATTTAGAACCAGCAGAGCCAAGGATTTTTTAGGGTGGCAGCCCAAAGGACATTCAGACGGCTCTAAAGCCAAGATAATTTTCAGAGCTGTTTGTAGCTGTGCTAAGGATAAGTTCTCAGTAGCTGATAAATACTGCAGAGACAGAACATGCATTTACAAGTAGTGTTAGCATAGTCAGAAGGCAGAAATAGCTTGTCAGGGACTTCAGATGGCCTTACCATGGGGCACATCTCTATAGGAAAGAGAAACGGTCAGATCTTTAATGCTAGAAGTGTAAGGAGCACATCTTGGTTTTTTATGTCTTCCATTCTTAATCCCCAGCTTCACTTAGGGCAAATGTCTTTTCACCTGTGATAAATGGGCTGGATCCCCACTCAGCATAAATTGGCACTGCCCTACCGGAGTCAGAGAAGATAGGTTGATTCATACCACAGCCCATTGTCTTCCTCTGCTTGTGCAACCCTTATGGCAGACAACACTTGGTGTTTTCCTGACTTTTATCAAGAGTACTGAGGCTGTCTTGGAACATGAAAGGATCACACATGCAGCATTAGAAGAGACCAGACATGCTGAGAAAGGGACAAATAGCCAGGTATGCCACACACAGGGCACAAAGGGTTTCCCTGGTACAGCATAGCATGAACACCAGTTGTAGGAGAGATGAGGCTGAGAAAATGACTAGGAGTGATACCAGTCAGTGCAGCTCTCGCAGTGTTGAATGGCTACTGCCTTGACCTAGTATCTAATAAAAGTCTCCTCCAGCTATTCACTGGCCTTGGTGCCTGACATGAAATGAACAGAACTGATACTACAGGTTCAGCTCAGGTGTTCATTTCATGCTTCCTATACTGAACTTGATCTTGCTGCAGCTCCCACTAGCCCCCTTGGCCTTCTCAGTGTTTCTCTCCCTGCACCCTAATTTCTGAGTTTAACAAACACAGGTCTCCTTGACTAAAGCAACCAACTAATCCCAAATTCAAAGGGTCTGAACTGGTGCCCCACAAGGAAAAGCTGGTTCTGGGGGATCCGACTTCCCCTTAAATATGCTTGTAGCGGTGTGCACTGGGTCTAGCTGCGTCTTCTGAGAGGAGATAAGATGCTTCCAAGTGCTATGTGATCACAGCTAGTCCTCGTCCAGTTATGGAGGGAGCTGTCAGGAGCACTCAGTCATTGAGCTGCATGAACACAGCTCAAATAATTAGCTCTACTGATAGGAAGGGCTAATTGCTCCATGGCTAAGCTGCTTCTGGGTTATGAGGCAGCCCATGACCATGCCTATTCAGCAGCAGTACTGAACCCAAGGTGTAATTAACTGTTCCTCTTAGGTGAGCTAATTAGCTCCTGCTTTCCCAGCCCAAGTGCTGCCCCAAGGAACCAATGCTAACCCAAATCAGAAGTGGTGTTGAGTAGACTGCTTCTAGTTTTGGAGGCCTGAGAAGAGTCCTGTGTTCCAGGTTTTCCTGAAAACTATCACTGTTTCTGGCCCCTTCATAGGTTCTGCGCAATACTCTCCTTTACGTTCTGTGCCATCTTGAAGAGCCTCCATGGATCTGTCTGCCTGATCAGCTCTCCCTGTCATCTGTCTCGAGCTGCAAAGCTACCTTTCTTCTCTTCCCCTGTTACATATTTTCTCCCTCACACAGCTATTCTTTGTTTTTAGTGCTACAGTTGCATTGTTTTTACCACCGTAGAAAAGCGCTTCAAGGTACAGTTTATAGGAAATAAGTATTGCTACTACAGACACCCAATGTTACTGGCTTTATTGGGAACCCTTACCCATGTAACGTGCTCACTGGGACTCTTTGTTTCCCCTACTGGTGTATGAGCCCACTGCAGCTTTAGCTGTAAGAGCTGCATCTTTTAACACAGGTAGTCTGTGTTTGCATCATAGAGAGGTAGGGCTGAAAGGAGCTTCCATAGTCATCCAGTCAAGGGGTTTTCAAGGTGGTTAACAAGCGTATGGAAGCAGAGCAGCAGCAGCACAGGGTGGTGGGTGGTGGTGATGGTGCAAGCTTCCCCACCTCACCCCCGCGTCCAGCAGGCCGGGCAGCACCTGTGCAGCTCACAGAGGGGAGCTCCTGCCCTTGCCTGCCCTCCTTGCTCCTGGGAGGCATCAGTGCGGGCTGGTGGGCGGCAGCACTCTGTCCTCACCTGCCTGCGCATACCACCTAGGCCTAGGGCCTTCCCAAGTACCCCCAGGGGTATGCATACCCTCGGTTGACAACCCCTGATCTAGTCCAACCCCCCTGCCTGAGGAAAGATCATCCCTGTCCAAACCACCCTGTACAAATACATTGTCTAACCTCTGAGCAACACTAGACAACCCTAACCCAACACAAGACATAACACCCTAATCTGCTACAAGTAAAGCAGGGGGACCACAGCCTCCACCATCCTGCTGTAACAGTTGTTAAAATATGCTCAAGAGACCCAGGAAGAGAGCCATGACTCCCCCTTCCCCTGCTCTCCCACTACAGAGGAAGGCAAAATCCTCATAGTCGATACCAATCTGACCACGGGGTAAAATTCCTTCCCAACTCCATATCTGGAAGTTGGTCTGACCTTGAGTGGAGGGGCAAGACCCTCTAGCCAGGAACCTCTGGGTTTAAGTCTCAGCAGGAGCACTGACACACCCCAATCAAAATCCCCAGCCTTGGCTGCAGCCAACATCCAACACCTCTGATGAAGGGTTTAAAAAAAAATCCTGACACATGTAGCAGCAGAAGGGGGGAAAATTCCCTCTCAGCCCCATGCAGCAACCAGCAAAACCAAGAAGCTTGAGAAAAAGGCATAGTAGAACAGAGGCATAGCTATGCCTAGATCTTCCCTGACCGGTGGTTATCCAACCTCTTGAACACCTCCAGTGATGGAGAGTCCTCAACTTCCCTAGGCAGTCTATTCCACTGCCTCACTGTTCTACTGATGAAGAAGTTTTTTATCTGATATCCAATCTAAACATACATTACTGCAACTTCAAGCCACTATGAGACAATCCAAAAGTCCCAGAGTCAGTGTCCACTGTGAACAATCCACCCAGTAGCACGGCATTACATCAGCAGGCCAGGCCTTCAGTAACCACAGAACTGCCCACTCAGCCTGAGCAGCAGTCTGGGACTCCCTGGAGTGTCAGCATAAGGGACGCTTGCATTGCTGCTCTGTATGCATTGGAGAAGGAAAGTGCAGCTACACAGCACACGTACTGGGCCAGGCAATGGTTCCTCAAAGTTGCCACATGTTTCACATGAACTGTTCCTAATCAAGAAACAGCAGAGCTGCATCCATGAAGCACTTTGCGGGTGGACTAATGCCAGTGCTGAGTGACTGTGCCATGGTGTGTTTGGGGAAGTATCACTGCCTCGCCCAGTAAGCGTGCTGTCCAGACACGGCGAAAGATCCCATGGCTCTTAACCCAGCACTCTTTGCCGTTTGTTTATTTCCTTTCTTCATCACAAATTAAACTTTTCAGGTTTCATTCTTTCCTCAGGATGGGAAGAAGTGACTCAGTAGGCAAAACAGGCTTTCTGCATGCAGCATGAGACTTTAAAAGTATTTAATTATGAACTTATCAGTTTGTATTATGGCTGCATAGGGGTCTAGTAGAGTGAATGCTGGGGAAGTGTGGCTGACACTGCATGGAAAACTTTCTTTAAAAAAACCACCTACTTAGGAGCAGATCCACTGCTGAGACAGAGATTTTCCTTGGTGTGGTTTTCTTTGTTGTTGTTTTTTTCAATTTATGTGAGTGGCATTTTATGAAAATGGAAACTGTGGCTGGAATTCATCTGGTTTTTGTTGCTTCTCTTTCACCTGCAGAAACCAAACCAGACTCCCAGCTGGTGCCAATTAGTGCAGTCAAAGGAACTGTGCTGATTTCACCAGCTGTAGATCAGGCCCATAAATTTTACTTTCTGATACCACATGTAATACTCTGGCAGAGAGCTGTATGGTAGGGCAGAGGAGGATGACTTAAAGTGGTGGGGGGAATGCATCAGCAGTCATTCGAGGCAAAATGTTGGCTACAGATAGCTGGGTTTGTTGTGATATTATCTGATCTCACTGCCTCCCCATTTCTTTCTAAAATGCTGTAGGACCTTCAGAAATTAAATGGAACCACAGAACTCCAGATTTCCATCACCAGGAGGAAAACATTTCAAAAGCCAGGAAAGCCATTTTGCATCACATGCATCTGGCACCAGTAAACTCTACACTCGCAGCACCCTCCCCACTGTTGTCCAAAGCCCATCATGGAGAAAATCCTTAAATCAGTTGGGTTTTTTCAAATCCTGTGGAGGGGTGGAAAGGCCAGTATTTTGCTATTCTCAGGAAAGCTGCATGCAGTGGGTAAGCAAGGGGGAGTGGTAGTTTGCTTCTGCTTATAGGAGAAAGACAGCTCCCTTTAACTGCTCTGGTTCAGATAAACTGCATTCACTCATAGCTCCCTCTCCTCCTTGGCTAGTGCTGCAATAACTTCTCTATCTTCTGTATGAACCTACTTCCTATGACCTTGGCCACTCGTGTAGCTTTCTAAGAGCAGAAATGGAAGGAAAGATCTCAGCTGTTTCCACAGTATCAACCCCATTTCAATACAGAGATTCCTTCTTCCACTCTCAGTTTCTCAAACTTCACCTCCCAGCGATGATAACCCAAGTGCAACGTAAAAGCTACAGGAAGTGCTTACATGCCCCAGTATCACAAGAAGAGCATTGAGCATTTTAGATGTTTTTAATCCGAGTTAGCAACTCTAAACAGGGAACAAAGTCAACTCAGTGACTTTTCCATTTTCAGAGGTCACCTGTAAGTGCTTTGGAGACTGCAGCTTGGTCACATTAGGGTGGAGTCCTATTCTTCCTCAGAGCTTTGTCCCAAGCAATGCAGAATTCTGCAAACATTGAACAAATTCATTTGCTATTCAATGTTCCTTTGCTTCTTGCAAAGGAACATTTCACAGGAGATCGTTAGTGGTCCCTGAATAGTGTTATGGCTTAATGTAAGAAAAGACTGACTTTGTTCTGTTGCATCATGTAGGAAATGTTAGGGTTGGAAAGAATCTGAAAGTTAGGCAGACACGATAGTGCACTATCTTCAATAGTGGACCAGCCTGGCAATTAACCACCCATTTGCAGATTGGGATAACAACATTTTCTGGACATAAATCAGTGCAGAATGTATGAGCTGTTCTCTTAAAGAGCAATCATGATAATACTACAAGATTATGTGTATTATAATGTGGCCACTTTCTGTTGCAGTATGAGCAGCTGTCATTTCACTAAAAGAGCTTGGTAGGGTCTTTATGAATAATGCCAAGTTTCAGAGCTTGGTAAGGCAGGCCCAGATTCAGTGAAATTTCCATTTAGGTAAGAACATTGATCATCAGATCTGCCTGTTGTAAGGGTTCAGCTGGGTAGGGAGTACAGGTTACAGTGGCGTCAGGTCAGGGTCTGGATCAGTAGGGTGAAGAATGTGGGACCAAGTCCCTAGAGAGCCAAGAGGGAGATCCTAGAAATGTAGTTTGGGAGGCAAGCCAAGATCAGAAGCCAAGAGAATCAGAGAGCTGGGTGCCAAATTCTAGGGAAGACCCATGAGCAGAGTCAGGGAAAGCCAAGTCAGGAGTTGTTGTTAAGGCCTGCCTGCAGCCTGAGGCTACAGGTATACTTAAAAGGGCTGAATGGTGCTCTCAGCAGCCAATCCTGTTACGGCGGGGGGCAGTTGCATTAGCCTGGGATCAAGGTCAGGTGTGGAAGCTCAAGAGCTTGGCCTGACCGGCCGGGCTTACCTGACCAGAGGCTCCAATACCTGTCTTTGTCTCTTGTTAGCATCATTTAAACTTTTCTTATTGGCTAAAAAATGATTGTCCAGGAAACAGTCAGCTGAGGATCAGGTTACATTAAACCATTGGAACTGAAATTGGTTTTGACAAACTGGATCTGGATTTGAATGAGACTCAGATACTTCTAGGTTCAGTCAGCCACAGAGGAGATGTAAGTGTGTGTATTGC